CACTCTCCTCGCCCAACAGCCACACGTCCCATACGAAAGCCAACACTATGTTAAGCGTACGGGTGATGGCCACGGGTCCGGCCGACTCATAATGTAAGGCTATAGTCATAAAGTACTGGTCGGCGATACCCAACACCCCTATCGCCACCAATAGGCCATAGCTTAGCCAACCCGCCGGCCAACGCCATTGGTCTACAATTAGTACCGTGGTCAAACTCGCCGCCATGGCAACGCCTGAGAACCATATGATCACCACGGGCAACGGGGTGGTTTTTAATTTACGCAAAATAATCATGACGGTGGCTGTGCTACAGGCGGCCACCACCGAGAATATTAGCCCCTGTGTGCGGTCGGGTGTGCCGTACCCGTCGCTCCCGAATATAAACTCCGGTTTGGCAATGATTATAATGCCGCCAAACGTGGCGATGCCCGTAAACACCTGTAGACATGTTAGCGGTTCGTGGAGTATGAATACGGCCAGGAATATGACAATTACGGGCGACGAGAATTGGATCGTGGTGGCGTCACCTAGAGGTATAAGCCGATAGGCCTGGTATATGAATATGGCCGCTGAGGTGCCGGCTATGGCCCGGAGAAACAAATCTATCCGATGCCCGCGTACGCCAAATATGGGCTGTCGGTGGTAGATGATGGGTATTAGGTAGAATATTACCTGAAATGTACACCTGGTGTGTATGAAAATAAGTACATAATGTGGTTAGTTATATAAAGCTTTATAAACTGTAAATTAATAATTCAACAATTATATTTTGCATATATACATTAAATTCAAATAATGTTATGGGAAAATTGCTGTGTATGTATAACTATTTTTACAATTAAAATACAAAACTAATCCTAACAAATAAAATAAACCAAAATGATAATCTCATAATTTTAATCTAATAAACAAAACTAAATTGCTCATGCTCAATTAATTGTAACCCACCTTATAAACAGCACTTGGAGGGAATGCAGCTCGGTGATAATTTTGACAATGACCGATGCCACGCTGAAAGCCACCACGCTCAATATGGACATCATTATGCCAAAAGCGGGTATCATTTCGGGTATAGACTTTTTGTGGACCAATTTTTGACCTAGCTCGTTTGAGCCCATTGGCAGGCTAGCTGTTGAGTATTTCCGGCCGCACCCGCACTCAACACTGCCGTCCAGTGTCAGTGTGTTCACCGCCGATGAGCCACTGCTACTCGATGTGAACACTCTACCCGGCGTCGAGTGGTGGTGATTATCAGGGTCGTTTTGTGTTACCACGATTACTTGCATGGCCAATTATTAATTTTATTAACAGTTATTTATTACTTGATTAAATATTAATAAGTTATTATTAATTAATTAAACACAATATTAGTTGTTATTAATGAGTATTGTTTTTACACCAATTTAAATGCATTTATAAGTATAACATATAAATATTAATTATTAATTTTAATTACATTTAATTAATTGAATTAAAATGAGTATTCATTTTAACTTTGTTTTTCTTGACAAAGAAAAATAGTTTTTATGATTTATTTAATATAAAACTAATTGATTGTAGATTTCATTGACTTTATGGCAAAGAGAGTGACAAAAAACTCGTGACTCTCTCTCTCTCTCTCTCTCTCTCTCTCGTAGACTTTCTACTTGTTATTAACATTATTATCATCATATATTTAATACAAACGTAGTGTTAAATCAATGGAAAAAATAATTGATAACAAGCTATACATTAACGGAGAAAAAAGTTAGTATTTTCTTTAGTATAAGTAAATATAATGTATTATTTGTATTAAAAGTTATTTTATAATCTCTGTCTCTAATCATTGGTGTGTTTAATATAATACAACATTTATAAAATTAACTAAATATATACAGTAATACCGTTACCATAACTGTTTGATCATGAACGTACATAGTTTTATATTTTTTGTAAATATTTTTAATTATCGTTTAGTTAATATTTAAAATTAGGTTACTGTACTGTCAAAATTTACCACCCATCTAAAATAATTAATTTATACTGTACAGTATATAAAGTCCATAAGTAGCATATGATAAGTAAATGGCGGGTAAATTAATTAAAATATGATAAATAACTTTATATTTTATCTAATAATGTATGCATTAGTGCTCATAGAATTGATTGTTTTCAGTAATAAATTATAATCTTATTATATTTGCATATATTTATAATTCATGATATAAATTGGGAAACCCACCAATATCAAAGTTTGTATTTTGATATTTATCAATGATTGATAAATTGTGATAGATGCAAATTTAGTTAATTTGTTATTGAGAGAGAGAGAGAGAGAGAGAGAGAGAGAGTTATTTTTATGCATAACTTATTATTGTACAAACTGTAATTTACAATTAATATTATTAATAATAAATGTATTTATAATATTATTAATATTTTTTGGATTCTACGACACCCCTCGATAGTATTTTTTATATTTAACACTAGCAATATTCAATGATTATATAATATAATATGCAATTACTGTTCATTTTATTTTATCAATATTTAATTATCTGCTCTATTGTTATAATTAAAAAACTATTGTTAATAAAGTTATAAATATTATAAGTTATAAAATATTATAATTTATAACTGCGACATGTTTTATATGATAAAACCATTATACAAAACAAATGTTTAAGCATGTAGCAGTGTTTAACATGTTGGATTAATGAATTGTTCATTTTATTAAAGTTGCATTAAAATTACAAATTATAATTGTAATAAGTAAACATTATCAGTTATAACTTATGTAATAATGTCAATGTAATTATGTATTAATATGCGTGACATTATTGTTGGCGCAAAATATTTTTCTCAATAAACTTCTGGTGTAAACTAAATCCGGATTTATATCCGATATGTTTAGCCACTGATTGTCGGTAAAAAACTCGACCGCTTGTAGAGTGACCATTAGTTTACTATATTTCCCACTCGAGTCCCATTCCGTACGGTATTTCAATAGTAAATAACGTTTCAATAAGTGCTTAAACATGTGTTGATATAATCTATTAAATGACAATTTAAAATAAAATTAATTTTTATTTAATGAAACATGTTTAATTTGTAATTTAGTGTATACTTAATTGTATCTCGATGTTTTAGCCCCATTCGGTATGGGTCAAAAATGTAATTGCTGATAACTGACAAAAAATTAATATATATTATTTGAAATTACTATTGTAATTATAATCATGGTAATATTTATTACCAGGTCGAGCACCACTCCCATTCGTCATGTATCACATGGTAGAAATTGATGAGAGCCTCGTATACAAAACGTGGTAATTCTTGGGCCGGACTTAAATTAAATGAAATGACATTGTTGTTGTCCTAAATATAAACATTATAATTAGATATTAAATTAATTATTTAATTATATTAATATAAAGAATAATAAAATTGTGCAAAATGAGAGAAATAATTGTAATTAGTAATATTTAACTGTTAATAATTTAATTTATAATGAACTATAGATTATTTCATATTAATGTAAAATTAAAAGTGTTTGAATAATTTTTAATAGTATCTTACAAGTATCCCAAGAAAGACCCAATTATTAAACATGTTAAACACTATCTCAATACAATAAATACTACTTATTTATTGAGTTACAGTTTGTATTCAAGAGAGAGAGAGAGAGAGAGAGAGAGAG